CAAATCAGCACAGACTTTCTCTCCTTAAAAAGGTAAGGTCAATGGCAGGATATTTTTGGAACATCTGTTATCTCGCCTGTATTACAGAGAAAGCCAGGGATGCCCACTTTGAACTCCTACCACAGGCCAAAGCAAAACCGATGAGTCCTTGAGATCGCGTTCCTTGAGATCATGCTTCTCAAAAATCTCTTAAGAAACTACCATACTAAAGTGATTTCTTTCAACTTTTATAGGACTATTATGCATTTTTATAACATTTTTTCCCACATGTGAATATTTTGGGATCATATGTTTTCATTGCAGAGATTAGTAGGAAAATTCTCCTATTTAAAATTTTACTGCTACTTTATCAAAAAGCATGATGCTTCTACCCCCATCCCCCATGAAAGTAAGAAAGTGTCAATGGCATTTTAATATGTTTTGCAATGCAGATATTTGAAAACATCGGGGAGATTGCTTCGGGTGGATAATCTCTTGTGATTATTATATATTCTGCTCCTTTTAAAATGAATCAGTCCACTGGGTTTTGTGCTCTTTCAAACATACACTTGCTCAGTTTAGCTCATTTTTTAACCTTCATGATTTTTTCAGTAAGTGAATCCAGGTTTGATAATCTGTAAAAATGTGGAAGAAACATAATAAATCAGGCCTGGGTACTTCTGGAAGTAAAAATTGATAACTAGCACTTGCAGAAAGCTTTTTATGATTAAGTCTTAAATTACTTTACAGAGGTTAAGGTAAACAGATGTTCACAGATATTGGTGGATTAGCTGAGTCACAAAGTCATTGTCAGAGCCAGGAATGCAGTCTTATTTCTTATGACACTTTTCAGGCTGTGAATCCTTCCCTACTCTGTTTATCTTTCCAATTTATTAACAAAGAGTGAAAAAACCATGGTCTTAGAGCAGTGATGGTTTTACAGCTAACTGAAGTACTAGGATTAAGACACTTCTGGAGAACCTCAGAACTTGAAAATGGTGATGAGAGATGATGAGTCACCCGAACAAACAGAGAGCCTTCTCTTGGACAAACTTGTTGAGACAAACAGGTGTCTGGGGGTTCGTGAAAACTGCCTGTGTGCTTAGGAGGAAAGGGTGTTCTTGGCGGGGAGTGAAAGTGATGTGCTGCTGCAGAAATGCTTACAATAGCTGCCTGCCCACAGGTTGGCTGCTTATAGTTTACGGGGCTGAAATGAGCAGCTTAAGGCAATTTAAACCTGCCCTGATATTAAAGAGGTGCCCTTGTTCTTCCCGCTGCTCCTCTACCTTCAGCTCCAGAGACAGTGTGACTCATTTGTAGATGAACCCAGTAGAGAAAATCAAGGTTATTTCTCAGTTAGATCAGGCACTGTCTTCATGTGTGGTTGCTTGTATAGCTCATGTCCCTCATGGCTTTTCATCTGCTTTAGCAGAGTCAGGCTGGACCCTTTTCAGCATCCACCCTTTTCAGGTTTAACATGTCCATGCAGTGTTTCAAGTCAAGGGCTTAATCAAACGTCTTCTGCAGAGCTTCAGTATTACTTATTACTCTTCTAGGTATTCAATGATTACATAGTCCTCTTTTCATCCATGGCATTGTTGGCGTTGCTTTCAGTACTGTTTCAGCTTATCCCATGGCCTGGTTGTGAGATCTGTCTATTCTATTTGGATTTACTTTCTGGCTATTAATTGTGAATTTACATTAAATCAGAAATTAGCATCCGTTCATCACCTTTAATGATTTTTTAATGGATGTAAATTTGTCTATTTCCTCTGTTTAATTATATGTTTAATTTCAAGGTGGGTAGAACAGATCATACCTAAAATTAACAGTGAGGGAACTTAAAACTGTATCTAATATCTTTATATGGTAATATTTTAAAAAGTAATGGTAATAGTTCTGTGCTCATAATGATAAGCAGCATCTGTCTGCAAAGTCTGTTTTCCAGTCTGTGATGCTGATCGTTGCGGGAGATTCAACCTTCCTTTGCTCCAGAATTGCTTTATTCCTTGAAGTGTTTCATTCCTCTGGCAGTGAAAGCAAATAAACTTGACTCTTCCCATAGAGTGAAGTGAGTAGATGGTATTCATTGGAAGTTATGTATCGTGCATAGAGAAAACCATGGAACTGAAAACTAGATAGAGGAGATGCATACTTATACTTGGCACTGGTGAGGCCGCACCTCGAATCCTGTGTTCAGTTTTGGGCCCCTCACTACAAGAAGGACACTGAGGTGCTGGAGAGTGTCCAGAGAAGGGCAACGAAGCTGGTGAAGGGTCTAGAGCACAAGTCCTATGAGGAGCGGCTGAGGGAACTGGCGTTGTTTAGCCTGGAGAAAAGGAGGCTGAGGGGAGACCTCATCGCGCTCTTCAATTACCTGAAAGGAGGTTGTAGCGAGGTGGGGGTCGGTCTCTTCTCCCAAGTAACAAGTGATAGGACGAGAGGAAATTGCACCTCAAGTTGCACCAGGGGAGGTCTAGATCGGATATTAGGAAAAATTTCTTCACCGAAAGGGTTGTCAAGCACTGGAACAGGCTGCCCAGGGAAGTGGTTGAGTTGCCATCCCGGGAGGTATTTAAAAGACGTGTAGATGTGGTGCTTAGGGACATGGTTTAGTGGTGGCCTTGGCAGTATTAGGTTGGACTTGATGATCTTAAGGGTCTTTTCTAACCTAAATGATTCTGTGATTCTATGATTCTATATATACATGTGTACGAAAGCTGAAAGGATCAGTAGACATAAAGCTTAGTCCTGGAATACTGACATATTGCCTGAGTCTATAGCACAGCACTATGCCATCTCTTAAGAAGGTGACAACAAAAAGCCATCTTAAGAAGAAGGTTTACTCCTTCTGCTTATGTCACCTTATGTCATCTGCTAATGTGTCTGAGGCCTGATGACCATCATACACTTCTGCTGGCCTCTCTGTGTCTTTCAGGGCACATGCTTTTAGTATGGACTGTTACGCTGGGAAACTGCCTCTGTGCAGCTATGTTTTTTTTCTGGGCTGAGGGTATTTGAATGATTATGCGACTGCAAAGTATCACTTTGCTAGGACAGTTGCGTTCACATTGGTATAGCAGTATATCATTATGGAAAACCTAGTAAAGCATCTTTGTCTAGTGCACCATAAAGATTTTAAGAGAAATTCTGCACATCTGCAGGATGATTATGGATCTCATGGGAAGTATGTTATCCCTGCAATGGTGACTGTGTATTTTCTGTCCAAACAACCTTTTATTTTAGGTTGGTGGAGAGAAAAAAAGAGAACAAAGAGAAGTAAAGTCTTCATCTACAAGCACACACTTTCCTTACAAAGTTATTTCACAAAATACCAACCATCCTTCTGCAAGGATATAATTTGGTATATCTTATAATTGGGTCTGGCAGGTGGCATGAAGGGCTATTCAGGGATTCACACTGCATTGTGAAGACCCAGAGAAATACTGGGAAGCAGAATGCTTGCCCAGACCGTTTTTGCTTCCTGCTTAGATCTGAGAAGCCAAAATGTAAGCACAAGTTGATATTGGCTAGGCATGACTAAACTCTGGTTGGATGATAAAAGAAGGTTCTTAATCTTTGCATCTCCTATGACGGCCTTCCAAGAATAGCCACGTCAGAGAAAGATTTCTGCTTTTCAATTAGAGCTTACATGGTCCCCTGTGATTGTGGGGTGGTTTGTGAGGTTACAGGTTCAAGAGAAGGCAGGAATGGAAGGAGGCAAGTGGGCAAAGCAGCTCTGCTGGGGAAAAATTGAGGTCCAATTTCAGGGAAAGCACCTGAAACTGTAACAATGAGAGATGAGCTCTCAAAAAGTAATGAGATTAGAGGTTAGGAGCCAAAGAAGTGCTAACTTTGGGGTCAGGTGCGTTGGGAATGACTGTTACACAGATGGGAAGCATGTGGAGGCATGAAGACTGCCTGTTACTTACTCTGTATTGAAAGCATGTATGTGCACAGCCAATATTTAAAGGGATTTCTTTTGTTGAATGCTTTCAAGTTAAGCATAACTACTAATCTTAGATATTTAGAGATAATTGCTATGTAGTGATGAGCACATACCTGAAATTTCCTGACATTTACAGAGTATTTTACATGTCAGAAGTGGTTAAGTAAGGATTAATATTTCCATTTTGCAGTTATGTGGAGGAGGAAAAGAGTCTGAACTGGGTGATGTATTGTTTGCTAGTGGTCATAGAGGAAACCTTTGCCAGACCACTAAGAGGACCTGAAACTTCCTGGCTTCTTGCCATATGCCAAATCCATTCACTAAGCTGTGCTGTTTTTCTCTTTTTCCCTTGAAAACTGAATATTGTCAGTTCAGCTGATGATACAAGAGTAGCAGGTGTCCAATGCAATAAACAAATCAGTAAAAGCAGTAGTAACACTTTGAGATCAGAACCTGATCTTAAGCAGCTGAAACCTAAAAGGAACTTAATCATGATATTGAAGCTTGTTTTTTATTTTTCTATACAACAAGTTTCTTTATGGTAACATTTTATATTTAATTATGTGGTTGTCCAGGGCTGAGATATGGTTGCTGATTTCAAAGGATACAATGATGATGAAGTCTCTGTTCCACCACAGAAGAAATAAGGAGTTCAGCTGCTTTAGGATGACTTCTTGGAGGTTTCCATTTTAGGAAAAATGTTTGCTAAAATACAGATTGGAAACCCAGTCAGAAACTTATTTGCATTGTTAGGCACTGAAATACCTTTAAAATACACCCACAATAGATTTCCTTTTAATGCAAGTCCATGTTTGTATTTTCCTGTGAAACAGAGTAGTGAAAGGTGTTATAGTTAGAGAATTTATATGTTTTTCTTTGCCATTATAGTTGGGGATATCATTGCAGTTTAGAATAGCTTTTAGGTTTGCATAGGAGAATATGGGTAAGTATCAGTATTTTCCTGAGCGTTATTGCGTATCACCCTTTAGTCTAATACATGGTGTAGGAAGATCAATCAGGAAAATATGAATACAAATGTTGACTCATCTTTTTTTTTTTTTTTTCTCTTTAGGATTACGATGGCTTTTTTGAATCAAAGGAGAGCAACACTGTCTTCTCCTTTCTTGGACTGAAACCTACTTTGGCATCAAAGGTCAGTGTAGTATTGCAGACTTTTAATGAAATACTTGAAATACTGAGATTGAATTTTCTTTGAACCGAAAGAACTCTGTGGATTCAGATGCACCACTGCCTTGATCCATACCTTGTCCATATCAACTTCACGTTAACGAGGTAATTGAAACTGTTGCCATGAGAAGAAAAGCATTTTAAATGAAACCAAGCATATACATGGGAGTTAATTTGAGACAGCAGATAAATGAAGTTTAAAGAATACATTCTCCTTGACATTATCAATGTAAATTGAAAGCAGCTGACTTAATTATAACAGGAAACGGAACTAGGATCTTAATCACTGGAATATCTGCAGCTTATGTCACCAAAACATCATCTTACTGGGACAGCCTGGCATAATGGCTCAACCAGGACAGCATTTATTTATTAGGCTTTAATTTTTTTTTTCTTTAATGCTGAAATGCTGGAGCAGTCAGGAGTTATAGCAACTTTTTGGATAAGAATTAAATTTTAACAAATACATATATACTGGTCAGAACACAAAGCCAGTTAACATCTTTCTGTTGAGGGCAGTATAATAGAAGAGATTTTATTGCCATATGGAAGCCTGGACACTTGTTCAAAGAGATTGTATGGTGCACTTTTGGGCAGTAGATCAGACACATGGGAGAGAATTTTTCTTCCCTTGGCCACTGTAGATACAGCTGTGTTTGGTAGTAGTACTGTTTCAGGCCTGGTCCTTAGCTCTCAGGTATCTATAGAGTTCCTCTTCTGCCAGAGATTCATTTATTTCTGGGTCCCATGAGGAAGAAGAGTAACCTCAGCAGGGAACCACAAAAGCAGGTTATGCTAGCAGCCTGCCTTGCTTTGTAGCTTGAAGAACTAGTCCTAGGAAAAAGATGATGTCCTACTGCAGTCAGAAATAGCAGCTTCTATGCAGCTCTGTTCCTGTTGTAGGCCTGGAGGACTGTCTTTATAAACTTGGCCAGATCGCTGCTTCAGTCTAGTAGTACTTCAGAGTGATGCATCCTCAGCTGCGTGGACCAGGGTTAGGGGCTCCTTATATGCGAAGGTCACGGACACAGGCGGTGAGAATGTATTCATAGCATTAGTAATTTTTTTTTTCTCTTTTCTTTTAAATAGGAGTCGGAACCCTAGAAAGCCTATCTGAAGAATCGACAAGCACATCTCCTGAATGAATGACCCTGTTCTTCAGCACACAACAGCTTCCCTAATGGATCACTGTGATAGACCAAACATGCATCATTAGTTGTAGTCTGCTTGCCATGAGACGGTGCTCTCCAATAATGTGGAGTTAATAACACGTATATGAAACAGAATTAAGGCCGGGCTACTCATCTTCCTTTTTAAAAATACTCATTGTTGATGTTTCACTTTTGTCTTTGGATTGCTTTTGCAACTGGCACTGATATTCTAACAGACACGTATGTTTGAGAATAAGAAGTGGAAGTGTAGGGCTTCTATCGTTCATGGATATACTTATGTAGTCAGATTCCTCACCTTTTTTAATTCTTCCAACTACTGTAGTTGAAATTAGCTCATCATGATAGTTAAAGTGCTGGTGGTGATTAGAATGTTTGTGCTGACTATGGTCCAAAAGGCAAAACCCGTCAATTTTAAGATCTCAGTCTAAGCAAATAACTGCCCTGTTTTTGCTCTACATTTATTTATTGTGATGTTTATGCTAGATCATGTTTATTGTAAGAGACATGGGCTGCTAACATTGTTCACGAAAACTTGATTTGTCTCATGATGCAAATTGCAACTGACTGTTTAAAAACAGTTGTTACCATGGAGGAGGTGCCAAAGTGAAATATTTTGACATGGTTCCTGTTCCAAATGTGGATGAAATGTGCAGGAAAACATTTGGTGGAGAATACTGAGTAGTTCAGAAGAAGGGGTCTCATAATGATAATATTGATAATAATAATAATGATAATATTAAGTTATCTCTTAACTGAGAAAGACTTAACACCCAAAGTTGGAGCTCTATAGTTGGACTGTCTTAAAATGAAATTTTGCCAAAATCTTGAGTTTACCTTCAGTAACACACAGCTCCACCATTAGCCACATGAGAGTCAGGGGGATACTTTGAGAGCCAGGGCTCAGTCCCATAGATGATTAAACACTCTATCATGGTCCAAGAGCACATCTAACTTGCCCGGCTGTTGTCCTGGTGTGGAAATGTGGAGGTGCCTCAAAGAGTGAGAAATCTGAGCATGTGCTTTGATGGATGAGGCCACAATGGTCAGCTCAGCTGAGGAACAGGAGCCAAGTAAAGGAAGTGGAGATTGTTCCAGTGTGACTGCATTGATGGACATAGCAGAACTTAGGCCCGTGACTTGCCAATAACCATTACAAAATGCATTCTAGACAGAAGTCAAATTGCATTATGCATTTTGAATCAAGTCTGGGTATGAAAATAACAGCTATGCTGTAACGTAGCTTTTACTCAAGTGATTTCATGATGACAGGGTAGTGCCAATACCCAATGTCCTTATGTCTTTGGGTAAACGAAAGACAACCATTATGTGGGAAAGCTTCTTTGCAATCACAGCATCACTCAGACTGCGTGGCTTGAAGGAAGCCAAACTTGTAAAAAGTGTCAGAAAGCAACACTGTTTGTGCAACAAATCACATGTTCTGTTGAAATCAGTAACCATGACATGCAAGACATGTTAGTTGGAAGGGACAACTGGAGGTCATCAGGTCCAGCACTGTCAAAATCAGGGCTAACACCAACACTAGCTCGGATCAGGTATGGGTTTGTCTAGCAGTGTTAAAAATATCCAGAGATGAGGATCTCATAACCCTCTAGGTAACCCGTGCCAGCGCTGTAGTACTCTCCTAGTGAAAACTTTCTTTTAACGTCCAGCCTTAACTCCCAGGCTGTAATTTGTGGCTGCTGCGTTTGCTATGTTTTCTGGCACTCACAGGAAGAGACTGGCACCATCCTTTTTGTAACTGCCCTCAAGATAGTTGTAGGCTACCATTCGATCACCTCTTAGCCTTCTTCTTACCGGACTAAACAAACCTGGCTTCCTCAACCTCTCTTCACAGGCTGTGTGCTTTAGGCCCTTGACTGCTTTGCTTTGGTGGAGGCCTACTCTTTCCAGTTTGTTCACATCCCTCTTGAACTGAGAGAAGGTCCCAAAACAATATTTCGGATGCGGCCTCAGCGGTGCTGAATAGAGGGGGATAATAACTTTCCTCAGCCTGCAAGCCACGCTTCTGAAGTAGCGCACTGCCTGCCTTCCCCTGTTTGCAGTGAGTACATTTCTGGCTTATGATCAGCCTGGCATTCACTAAAATCCCCAGGTCCCTTCAGCAGGGGTATTACTCTGTCAGTCGCTTCCCAGCCCATAGTGATGCCTCGCCACCCCCAAGGGCAGAACTTTCTACTTGTCCTTATCAAACTTCATGAGGTTTCTGTTGGCCCAGTCCTCAAGGTTATTGAGATGCCACTGGACTGAAACTCTGCTAGCTGTTATCAACCGCTGAACCAGATTCAGGTTTCATTCACAGATTTGCTGAGGGTGCACGCTAGGTCATCATCCAAGTCCCTGCTGAAGATGCTGAACAACAGGAGAACTGTAGCCTCTCAGATTTTGGACAAGGGCTTACTCACGAATACTGAGGTATGACGTGAACAATGTTCAAGACTACCAGTTGCTGGAATGAAGAACAGTTTACCTTCCCGTTCGTGTTGTCTCAGCTATAACCTGCTTACAGCTGTGTGGCTTTTCCCTCTAGTACAAAGACAAGAAAACTTTAAAAAAGGAGATGTTAAAGGAGTCCATCCATAAATCAGTTTCTCTTTGGATCCTCTGTTGCCTCCTCAGCTCAGTAAGGGAGCTAGATGGAGCAAGAGCACACACAGATTTTAAGTCCATGGTTGTATTTACTGGTCAAAATCTTAGCTACAGCACCTTCTCTAGAGGAACCCTGAATGGGAGTTGATAACATGCATATACATATATATATATACACACACACATATATGTATGTGCATTTTTAAGAATTATGTTGTCTGTAGTAAGTTATTGTGATATTCTTGTCACTAATCCCATATTTTCATGAGACTTGAACCTCACTATAGATAGGGAATGTGACATGAGGTGGAGCTGTACGTTGTTAACTTCACCAAGTTCAATATAACTATTCCTAAAAAAAAGTTAACAAAAAATATTTAACTTTGCAAATGAATACAGATATAAATTTACATAATTATGCAGTTGGTTACAGAGAAGCCATCCTGGATTTATCATGTACTTGATATGTTGTAAACTTTGAGAACTGCCTGAAGTCCCAGTTTTGAAAAACTTACCTAAGTGTGTAAGTATATACACATGAGTAATCCTGGGCGAAATCCCAGGCTTACCAATGTGAAAGACAAAACCACACTGATTCCTCCAGGGATGAAATTAGTTTCACAAAGCTCCTTTTGAATTTTGATAATTGTAGAGTAGAAGCCTCCTGTTCCGTGGAGAGCTAGTCCTGTTACAGCTGTTAGGTAAACCTAGCTTATTTCAGAATACGCACATGGGCATGATCAGTTGTATGGAGGACGACGCTAGCTCCAAAGATATCCTGCTTGCTTGCATGGATTGGCAGTGTAAGTCCCTTAGAATATGTGCTTTTGAGTTATAAGTGGCTAGTTTAAAAAAAAAAGTATATATGTTTCTTGAATGTGAATTTGGTCTGTTGTGCGACAGCCTTATTTTTGTAATTAAAGCAAGTAGAGTTCTAGTTTGTTACACAAGATGATCTGGAATTTTTTAAACCAGTTTTGTAATAATGAAATGTAACTATCGGGTAACTGAAAAGGTCTGTGGAAACTTAAAGCCATTTATTGAAAGAAATAGCAAATTCTTAATTCTGTTTAAAATACTTGCATATAAAGGTATGCTTGAGAACCAAATGATGCCAATTTTTAGCTAATACTTGTAACTACCCCACTTTTTAAAATGGAGAGCAGTGTGAATTAAACTAAATCTTTGCTAAACCTAGCTAAATTGTTGTGTGGGCTGACGTGCACGTGCACATTCACTGTATCAGTGGCTTTGATAGAGGTGTTTTTGTTTGTGCCACACACTACTGGATAGTGCCTTGCCAGAAAGAGGACTGTTTCTGTAGGGTCTTCTTAGATGTGCTTAAACTTTGAACTGAGAAAGCGGTAGTTTCTATATTGCTATTTTTTTAATAATGCAGTAAATTGATTTTGAGGCCTGAGTCAAAAGACACATGTTTTGTAAGGTTGAAACAGTTTTTGATGAGTCTTCTGAACTCTTGACTTTTCTTAGTGTGGCTTTCTCTTTTTTTTTCTTTTCTTTTTTGTTGACTGTCTACAATCAAACCTTCCAAGGGAAGTGGAGTAAAGCCCCTAAATCCATGTTTACACTTTAAAATAACTATCATCTGATTCATGTGTTGAGCAGCCCAAGCACTATCACTGAAATGAAGAGGATTTCTCAGTGGATTCTTGGTTGTCCCTCCCTGCCCTGTCCCCCCATCAGGCCATTTATTTAGGGAGTCCAATTCTGGGAATACCACGTTTCAGAAGCAGGACCCTGAGATTTTAGGCAGTGCCTTGTGGCATTTCACAGGAGTGCAGGAGTAGGGTCGTCACCAAATCCCATTAGTCTTCAGTGACTTGTCCACTGATTTCACTAGATCTTGGTGTGAGCAGTGGGAGGAGGAGGGAGCGCCGCGTGCTCGCCCGGCACAGAGAGCGGGAGTGGAAGACATGGTGCAGAATGGCCCACAGCTTGTTGACGGCACCCTGAGCAGCTGTCCTCACAGGGGCCCTTGGCTGGCAGTGCCGTGTGTGAAACCACACAGCGCCGCTCTCCATGGGATTCCACCTGCATCATGGCCTATCCTTCACCCTCTTGCTCCCTAAGGAATTTGGGAGGGGAAATGGAAAACAGCTTCTTGAGAGCAGTCCTTCAGCCAGGGCAGATCCAGCTTACTCTCTTCTTCCTGTTCTTTACCTCTTCCTAATGTGCTTCGTCCTGTCCCGCGTAGACCTACCTGCGTGCAAAGCTTCCACTCCTGACCATTTGTAACATGCCTGTGAGGTCGCAAACAGAGAGCTGGTGTTCACCTTCACCGTGTCAGTGTTTCACAACTCAGTGGGGGAGGGAGCACATTGCATCCTAGGCCGTGTACACGTGGAGTTTAAAATTATATATTAAAATCGTGTTCATCTAATAAAAAATGTAATTCAAAAAAGACATTTGAAGTGTGTTGTATGTGCCAAAGAAAACTTCAAAAATACGAGTCTTTATTCTTGCTGCAGCTCCCTCTAGTGACAGCCTGGTGCTTTGGCTCGGGCAGCCCCGGCAGATGGAAGCACTGCAGAGCTCTTCGCCTGCGATGGGTGAGCGTGATTTTGCAAGATGCTAAGTGCCTCTAATCCCTGTTGACTCGGTGGGAATTGCAGTATGCAGAATACCTGCTGGGTTAGGGTCTAGGTCCTC